CTGAGACTCTGCTCTCTCACTCTGTTAATGTCAACCTACTGTATATGTGGCTGTACGCAGAACATAAACAGGTATTAGGTGCATCAGAGTCAGGGTTTGTGTGGCATATACCCAGGCAGACAGATGGGTAAACATTTACACCCCTCCTCCTTCCCAATCACTACTGAGGAGCTGCACTGTTTTTGCTGCCATTCCTCGCATTGTTTGTCTCACACTATTTATAAAGCGCCGTCACAGGGCTTGTTAGAGGCTCAGACGTGCCACTCCTTGTGTTGTTTCAGAGATTACTGGTTGGGTAAAAAGTGGTATCTGGCTGACAGCTGCTCATGTGGTGCTGCCGGCGCCCTCCTCCCTCGCCTGTAGTCCTCTGACGTGGTTGTTGTCAAGTTCTCCGTTGAGAGTTGCACATTTTTCTGTTGGAGTGAAGACTAGGGTGACAAAATTTCTTCACTGATTGATTGGCATGCCAGTGGACGGTGGTGGTCTGTAATGATCCAGAGTAATGAAACATGATACATTTGTTTCTCAGTATCCAAAGTGGTCATGGAGCTCAGACAGCATGTGACAGGAGGGCTGAAAAATGACGGGATTTGCGACCCATGACAGTTATTCTTCTCAAGTTGTGCAAATGCTTCTGGATTAAAACTGGTAAGGTGTGATTCACCGAAAAATCTCTGAGGACAGAAGCAGTCAGCGAGACAGATGGGTATATAAGTCCACCCTAAATAGGGCCCAGCTGAAATGAAGTGGCATTTTTTTTGTCTGCTACAGCTTAGATATCCACTCTGTAATCACTTGTCCTGTGTTGTCCTTTAAGAAAAAAACGAAATCAAAATAATACATTTTTGATTACATAAATTCAATGTAATACTATCCCTCTATGTAGATGGCGACCTTATTTTGATACAACCAATGAAATCTTATATAAAGGAGTATATCAGCATTGTAGCACTGTAGCTTTCCTGCTAAAGTCTTTTCTTATCTAACTTACAAATGGTGGAAGCAATTTTAAATGGGGTTTTGTCATTTCTGAACATAGCCAAGATTACAACCATGCCATTGAACCCTAGTCACCTCCAAGAAAAGAGCTTGTCTCCACGTTGGTGGGAAAACAAACTCTAACAAACTGGCCTCCCACACTCGAAGTGATCTGTGATGTGGTGAAACTTGATGGTACTTTAGCCAAGAAAACTTGCATCTCGTTCCAGGGAGACGTCTGTCTTTCATGGAACACCTAAATGCTTATCCTGTCTATCCCTTGCTGCTTTTATAGCTTCACAGTATCACTGTCACATGTTGGACCCATCATGTTTCCCTGGAAATCAGCCTGGGGGCATGTGCCTGGAAGTCGAGAGGGGAGCAGTGAGTTGACCTTTCGTCATAAGGGTTATGCGAGACCCTTATGACGAGGGTGTTTGGGTCAGGTGGAAGGGGTGGTGGGGGTATGTGAGATACTGTAGCTTCTCGTGGCCTCTCGTGCTTGTTCCTTGTAGCCTGGCAGATGAGTGATTAGGAGGGCGGGAGGTTTGGATGGGATTATAAGGGGAAGAAAGGCCCATACGGCTCAGGAGAAAAAGTGGAAGGATGGACGGACTTTGGATTAAAGCTTGTAGCCAGTGTTTTGAGTCTAAATTTAATTTTTACTCGTGCTAGTGTGTGAGTGTGAGATGTAGTCTATGGATCCCCGTATGATAACATTTAATTATTCCATGACTGCTTGTACTTTAGATTTACAGATTAAAAGTGAAGGCATTCCTATACATTCTCTCATGGGGCTAACTTCAAGTAAATTAAATAATAGTGAAATTAAAATATTTGCCATTTTTTGGGGAACCCCTGGAACCCACCAAGGACCCCTGGTGTTCCCGAAACCCCAGGTTGAGAATACACTGCTCTTCTGACATCATGAATTTGACATCTGTGGAAAGCTAAGTGAAATGTTTCAACCACTATTGGATGTATTGCCATTTAATTTGGTTCACGGTTCATGTTCCCTTAAGGATGAAAAGCATTCACTTTGGTGATCCTCTGATCTTTCATCTATTATTAAAATGTCACTTTGGCACTGTTTAAACATGCTAAATTAGATTGGGGAACACGGAAAGTGTTACCTGCCAAACATAAGCAGGTTAGCATAGCCATTGTGAGCGTGTTAGCATGCTGACATTTAGCTCAAAGAACCAAGTACCCGTGCCGAAGTACAGCTTCACAGAGCTGCTACCGTGGTTGTAGTCGCTTAGTCTGGTTGCCAACAAATTCCCACAAATTACAATTACTTATTGCTCCTAACATACTTTAGAGTGGAAGTCCACCAGTTACACTTCAAAGTATGTGTACAGGTCTTGGGGAGTATGTGAAAAACGTTATATAAAGCCTTTTGAAGCTTGTGAAGGACCTGGACAAAATCTGATAAATCACCTGACGCTAACTCCTTTGAGTGAGTTAGCTGGGTCTGAAGGCTAGTGTGGAGGGCAAAAGGAGTGAGGTTACCAGACCTCTGCAGCCTGCTACTCATCTCTGCTAGAAGCTAGTGGCTTGAGGCTACACTAGCTGCTGCTATCATAAGAAACCCAAATCTGTTAAGTAAATTGAGTCAAGCTGCTTTGTGGGTAATGTAGGCACCAGGTTTTTCCAAGGAAGAAAAATACTTGGAATACAAAAGACTTTGATTTTGATGATTTTTTTAAACTGTGAGTCGGGAGTCTGACAGTGTGGTTGGAGTGCAATGCTAAATTGGTGGAGTACTCTTGTAATTCTTGTCAGGTGGAAAAAACGAAACAGAAATTAGACCTTCATTTGACAATATGTGACATTTAAATCTGCTTTGCTTACACAATTCATCCATCATATCAGAGATTGGTTACACTGATTAAACAACCATGAACCACTGTCTCAAGTAATTTTTTTATCTTAACTGTGATTGATTTTGCAATTATGGGCTTAGTAGGCCAAAAAGTTGAATTTAATGTCCTGTTTGTAAGGCAGTGAGATAAAGATGAATATGGAGTTAAACAGCTGTGTGTGGGGAGGAAAACTGAACAGGGGATAGGTTAAGGCAGGATTTTTGTCTACCAGCTGCCAACAAATGCTAATTTGCACCACTTTGAATGCCAAAACTTTCCCTTAAGAGCTGCCAGCAAGAGGGATAAATGTGGAATGTGTCAGAAACACCAAATTAAATCGGATCTCTTCCTTCCACGGTCAGGTCTCTACCATGTACACTAAATTCTATGTTAGGTGGCAAATGAACAGGTAGAGGCTTGGTTGTCTCGCTAATAATAAACTTTAATAACAGCTCACTAGGATCTAACCTGTGGTCTCTAGTCAATGGATGGCGTTGGGCAGGGATGTTACAAGCAGCTGGTGGAGATTGACCTGCTCACTTGTCTTGTTAAAAATGGGTGGAGAGTGGTTAAGATCCTTGTTGTATTCTTGAAGCTCCCCCTTCAACTGTTTAGAGTCACTGTACCAGGGTGACTGAGGTCAAATCAGTCCTATGCCAGAGCATGGCTTCATATCAATATTCACATCCTAATATGCCCAGAGATATTAAAAGAATATCTACCTCAGTGTAAACAGTAAGGCAGAATTGATGATGGTTGACAAATCATTTTACTCCCGTCATATTGCCCAACCCTAGCTGGTGGCCCTTCTCTGAACAGTTGAAATAAACAAATTGTAGACCAAAGTACCCATTCTTAAGCAATCGCATCACTTTTGACTTTTGCATCTTCAAGATACTATTACCCCCTTAAAGACTGTGATCACACACATATTCCAATTAGCAGAGGAACCTTACAGCTGTGTTAACTGGCGGGAACCCTCTTTGCTGTTGTAGTAACCAGATCTCCATGGAGATTTCACACCAGCCACCCAGGACAGCTGCTTTCACAGGGCATGTGATTTCCATCCACTGTTGGACTTAAATTTCATACATTGTCATTTAATCAGATGAGAGCTATTGAGGCAGTTACGTAGTCCACTGTCACTTTGATTCATTTGGTCAAAACAAGGCTGGAAATTTGACTCATGCTTCAAATACATAATGTGATATTATTGAATGCTAACAAATTATTATTTGTTGTGTCTTTGTTGCTGTCGAGTACAGTTGTTGATACACCTGCAAAATGTTTAAACTTTAAAAGAAAGACTGATGAAGGAAACCTCCACTGACTAAACCTATGGGGTAACAGTTAGTTAAGCGAGGTAAGAGAGGAAGTAAGACTTTGGCTGCCTCATGCCTTCATCTATTTATTGAACATGACCTACACATGAGCCACATGTGTGCCTTTTATAGCTGTTTTATGTGAAGTGAGCACGAGGGCTGATAGTAGAGCTTAAACAGGAAATAATGTTTGGGAACCCTCGAGGCTGGAGGGGAAAGTTTCATACCTCACCAGGTGGCTCAGAATTTCCAGCAGTATCACAGCATGGAAAGCACTTCCACGTTCCTATTCCCATCTGCCACCTGTCTATTTAGTCATCTTGCCAGTTTTATGGTAGGCTTCTTAATTTAGACTATGACATTTACATTGGACTGGCTTTTTTCTTTGACTTAATTTCATCAATGACCCTCAACCAGTAGAGTTCTAAGCCTCCAAATAAACCTCTTAAATACCTCTGTTGGTCAAGTCAAATGTTGATACTATTTTTAAAGCTGAGTCACTGCATATTCCATTAGTAATTACATGGTGACCATCTTCACATAGTCAGGTCAGTTTAGCACATTTAACACGTGTTAAAGAAGTGTTAACCACTTTAGGTCAGGTCTAAATTTGCCCCAAACACTAATTAACACTGTACTGTACTTACAAGTTGTATATGTAGTATTTGTTTTGCTTTTTGGCTGATAAAGAAAGATTTTATTCATCGTTAAACTAAACCAATGTCTCTTGTGCCCAATTATTTTCCTGACATCCCTTTAGTGGTATAGCAGACACTGTCAACACTGAGATATCTTAAAGATGATTAACATAGCTTCTGCCTGCCTTGTCTTGTAGCTGGGAGATCATTGACTCAGGCCAGGATAGCCGGTCTGGGACTGGACCTCAGCTCAGTGACTCCCTTAAACTCTTCCTCCAGGAGACGTCAGCTTTCAAACAGCAAAACCCGGGCAAGGTGAGGCAGCAGACGACCTTCTTGATTCAGTTTAAAATTGCAATTGATTGTTGAAATGTTTCAGAAAACTTAACAAAACGTTAATCAGGTCTAAATGCACTTATTTAGATTACTATGAGAACTCCATCAGTATACATATTTTGTGTCATTCTCTTGTGTGTTTGCTTTCTTTCCCTTCTAGTTTTGCCTGCTGGTTTGCAGTTTGTGCACCTTCTTTGCTGTCTTAGGACGCTACATTCCAGGGATCGTTATCTCATATATTCTAGGTGAGCAAATATATGTATATGCTTGGACTAGAATATCCACCACAGCTAGAGGATGACTGCATATTTGTTTATCCTGGTTTTAGAATAGTGTCATGACGCTGTGAAGCTATACGGTATAGCTGTGTGTCATCAGCATAACAACAAAGGAAATTAAATCAGAAAACTTAAAGTTTAATTTACGTTTTTTTTTTTTTTTACTTTTTAATATGCTTTTACAGGCAGTATGTTAATTGTTTTTCTGAAAACAAGCACTTATCTTGACATATTTTTCTCTCTTGACCTTGCTTTGCAGTTCTGGGAGTTTTCCTATGGCCTCTGATTTCATCCCACGAGGTTGGTTTGTGGCTGGAGCCAGTTCTGCAGAAGCTGGACTTCGGCATCGGGGAGTTCCTTCAAAAAATCAAAGAAAACCATGGTAACTATCAAATGTGTCAAGATGTTATATATCAGAAACAGGTTTGTGCTCTATTTCTTCCAAAGAAACTGGAAATGTCGAACACTTTACTTTTATAAAGGAGCTGTTAAACGGATGGAAATGCTATCATGTACTGGATAAAGATGAATTCTCAATATTATCAATACTAGCATCACAGACATTTAAACATAAGAACGTAAACCTACAGCTTCTCCTTACTTTTCGTATTCAATACAAAGAATTTTAGTTGAATATTGAACTAAAAAACTAAATGTTTTCTTCCTTTCAGAGAAGAGAATGATGCAGGCTCAGACTGAGAAAGAGGGCATCGAGTCAGACCTCTCTTCAATGTTTCCCAAGGTTGGCTGAACCTCTCATCTCAATCTAATTATGATCTGTTGCCTGACAGGGTCCAATTAAAGCTAATTGAAATTCAGTACACATGCTTCACATCAGCATAGAAAGTGATGCCAGAATGACGCTTGTTGCTCTTCAAGCCAAACACCTGGTTACAGATTACACTGACTGAATGTGCTTAGGATCCTTTATAACATCATTGTATAAATAAAATGGATGTCGTAAGCCCAAATAGGAAAGTGAGAAAAGTCTGATCTAAATTATTTTCTCTCCGGTGTTTATGACTGAAGAACAGGTGAATAAAAAGCTTTAACCAGGAGAAGCTTTGTAAGTTACTTATCTTTTTTTCCCCTTAAAAAACGTTTTGACAGTTGAATTATTTGTTTGAAGTGTTTGTTGTTGTAAAACTTATTTCGGCCACTAGAGGCTGAAGTGCACCACTACCCCATGTTCCAACTAGGACTAAAAGCATTCATGTTTTCTCCCAGGTGACTTTAATTCCTCCATGCACTAGAACTTTGGCTATTAATTATTTTTAGTCTGCAAAATTAAAACTCACCTGGAAAACCAAGTGACTTTGGAATTAAAAAAGATTGACAATTTAGATCAGACTTAGAAAATGGATCACCAGTGTTTTTTTCTCACTTACCTCTCAGGGCTTCGTTTTTTCATGAGCACTTTAACATAGTAATGTAAAAAAGGGTGTCACATGCACAGTAATATCTGTTTTAAATGTTTTTAGTTGTTCAGATTTGCCAGCCAACATACTTTCACACCAGAAAATGGCAACGGCACTCAAAAATCTAACGTCTCCATGTGTTTCCCTCCTTCAGCTCGACTCCACAGTGTGTAAGGAAATGTCTGTATCGGACACAGAGGTGTCTGATGTGACGTGGACGGACAACGGTACTTTCAACCTGTCAGAAGGACACACACCGCAGACTGAGAACTCGGAGGGTACGTTTGTCAGCTACAGACTGACACATGGTTATAAAATAAAGATGTTGGTTATCTAAAATGAAAGTTTTGACACATAAATGCACATCTGATTAAACAGAGCCGGTTTCGTAGTTAAAAGTTAGGCAACATATTTAAAACAAGAAATTTGTTTATGCACAGTGTCACATGTGTAGTTTTTTTGGTAAACAAGACAAACAAAATCTACTATATACTATAAACATATACTGTATAATAATGACCATCTGTGAAGCCTGACATATCAAATAATAGCCAGAAAATAAAAATTATTTGGGGAAAAAAGTATTTATTGGACCTTTTGACCTTTTTACAACATTTTCATTTTGCTTTATGGAAGGTAAAAAACAGTTTTGTCAATATAGTCTGAATTGGTCAATATAACTTAAAGATCAAGTAAGTCAAGAAATTGTTTGAGAAAATCAATAATTGAAAAGAACAATTATAAGCAAGTAAGCCACTGAAACTTTAGAAAATAGACATAGACATATCAAAATGTCCACTCTAAATATATCTTAAGATGATATTTCAATCTTTAATTAGTTTAATGAAATAATAAAAACAGCGTAACCGGTTTTGATACAATATATTTAGGGTTTACAGACAAATTATTTTTATATTATGAAATTTTTTAAAAACTTTTTTTTATTATTAAAAAAAAATCACATAATCATATTCATTTTTTAACACTAATATCATCACTAAAGAAAGTTCTATGCATGCTGGGCATAGTATACTGACATAGCCACCTACCTCATGTACATAAAAATACCTACACAAAAATATTTATTCCGTATAATGTTTTTTAACAGTGTGAATAAATAACTTACAGGTACGATAGATGATTGAGTCACAGGGATTGTTCCTGACACTCATTAAGTAATTGTAAGTAGTTTCAATACAGTAAATGTTCATATTTGAATATTAGTATCAATATATATTTTGTTCTTAACAAAATTTGCAAAGATTTCTCTGCCAGGAACATTTTGGATTTGCCATGCAAAGGCCTGCTACTGTCTGCGGTGCAGGGATAATCCACCAGAGGGCAGAAGACATGTATTAGATTGCATGCAGTAGGTTATTTAGGAAAGTATTGATCATGTTGACTCCAGACGTGCTTTTCTATGTGAAGCACAATAAGCTGTTTTTTTCTACATTATTTCTAAAGCCAATTTTAATGCCCCTTAATTTTTGTATCCATTCATCTCTCACAATATCAGTAATGTAGGATGTATTGTATATTATATCTAAGAAGTTCCAATATTAGGATTTTAGAGAATAAATAACTAATACTACATTTCTTTTCACACACTGTGAACCTGTTGTGACCTCTACTCCAGGGGTAAATAGCCTTGTCCGAAAAGAAGCCTATTTAGGATGTATGATTGTTAAAATAAAAAAATACATAATACAAACAGAGAGTTGAACAAAATTCTAAAAAAAATAAAAAAATAAAAAGCAGATAAAAAATTTTACTTCCACAGGAAATAATCTGCTTAAATTAATTGCTGGTTTTACACAAACTTCCAGCAGTTTTTGCATTCACTATTTGGGTTCTTTGTACACTTTATCAGTTGTTCTGTTTTGTTATTTTTAGGCATTGAATATAATATGAGTTTACTCAATGATAGAAAACGTTGTGAGCTACTGCTGTCACATCCTTGCTCGTTCACAATATTACCACAGCTTCTTAAAAAAATCTTTCTTTTTACCTCAACCTCACAGACCTCGACAGAGAAGAAGCGTTCACCGGCGGCCTTCCAGAATTCCCCTCACTTGACAACGGCGCAACGACCAATGGCGACGACGACGATGACCTCAGCCTCGGCCTTCCCTCACCTCAACCTCAGCCCCAGAAGTCAATCAAATCCAAGCATACACCCTCCCTTTACAAAGACCAACCCACTGACAAAGCCCTCGAGTTAGTCAACCAGATGGCGGGCGATGTCATCGCTGCCGCTGTCACAGCTGCCATCCAGGAGAGGATAGAAGCAGCGGTCGGCCTCACGGCGTTGAGCGAAGACTTGGAGCGGTCAAGACTTCCAGAATCCTCCAGGCTGCTGGAGCTGGCCGAGGAGTCGGACAGCGAGGTGGAGGACTTTGAGCTGCTGGACCAGTCGGAGCTGGAGCAACTGGAGGGGGAGCTGGGGCTCGGGGAAAAGAAGGTCCAGGCCAAAGAGGAGGCCAAGAGTGACCAGCCGGCCTCTTCTGGATTCTTCTCCAAACTCCTGAGACGCCACTGATTTGTGAAAAGTATAGCTGGCAAGGGAAGAGGACTGGTTACAGAGGACATGTGGAGGGGAGATAGGGGTGTTCTGGTCACGGAGGACTGTTGGGGGTTGGGAGTAAACCATTTTTCCATTTATCTTTCTCCTGTAGAGCTAATAACATCAACATTTCAAGACTGGTCAGTTTGTCAAATATGGAGGTTGAAGTGACATCACGTAAATTTAGAATCATCCCAGCCTAATGCCGAGATCAGAGCGCACAATGTCAAACCAGATAATGGCCCGACCTGACAGAGGTGGGAACGTAAATGAGCGTTGGGTTCCACTGTTGCTTGTTTTATCCTGCATCACATCATAAAGACCTGTCAAAAAGGCGACCACGTAATTCCTTCTCTCACCTACGACAGGTCCCATGACGATTTTGGAGAGGTGTGAGGAGGAAACAGAAATTAACTGAAAACAGGGAGGGTGTTTCTCCTGTGCATATATTTATTTGTTTATCTATTTATTTTTTAACATTTATTTACTTCCCGGTTGTGCGCCCTTACTGAGCAGCAGCCAACTCAGAGCTTTTTTGATTAGCCTACTGGGCAGGTTTTGTAACGTGTAATCATGGGTAACGAAACAGTTATGATGTGCAGTTTTTTAGGTTCTTGGTGTGTTTGCAAAACTGGAACCGGGCCTCCTAATGTCCTCCTATTTTCCAAATTTCTTAAAAATAATTGTTGCTGCTTCAAGGCATACAGAATTAAACATTTAGTGTGCCTGATCACCTTAACATTTATATCATGGAAGTTAAGAAGGACAGGAAGCGACGATCAGTCGGACTCCAACCTTTAGTCTGCAACGTCTCAATCAAGTAACTACTTGATTGAGACGTTGATTGCCGTAATTAATAAGATTAATGTGACTGTAATAAAACACAAAAACATTGTGTAGTCTGATCCCGGCATAAAAGGGACGTGATGGTTTAAGATGTAAGGTCTTACTTCTGGTTTTATTCAAATTGCTGTGGTTACATTTGTCTTTTCAAAGCAACTTCTTTTATGGCGAGATCAGTTTAACATTTTTAAGCAGCATGTTAAATAGTTCTTAGTTTTTAAGCAAATAAGGCAATTTTTTAGGTGTTTATTTGTGAACAACTCTCTGCATTTGCAACTGTTCTATGAACAATAAACTAGGGATGCCCAAACTTTTTCACTTGCAGGGCCAAAAATAAGCACTTCTATTGTTAAAGCTGCAGTAAGTCATTTTTATAAAAATAACTTTCTCATATTTGCTGAAACTTTCAGTATATCCTGACAGTAGAACATGAGACCGATAATCTGTGAAACAATCAGGTTCCTCTGGCTCCCTCCTAGTGGCTCCTAGAATCCACTGGGCTTGAACAAAAACAACCATTGTGTGTAACCATGTATTCATAGATTATCTCTATATCATCTTCTACTGTCAGGAAAGAGCGAAAGTTTCAGCAAATATGACATAAACTTATTTTTATAAAAGTTACCTATCAAAAAACAAGACAATAAGAAATAAAAAACTTATATGGAAGATGTGAAAACATTTATATAAAATGTTTGATCTGATTGTAATCCAAGCCTGAATACAAACTGCACTGAAGATCAGTTTAACTGCAGCAAAATGCATATTTCACCAGTGACCTGTGGTGTTATTTTGGGTCAAACAAGCGGAGACACTTCCTGTTATATATGACTGACTGACTGCGTTTAGTTTAATACACAATGTAGACGGCTCACAACACGCCTAACACTCACTTTGCTGTTGAATTGATTCATCCAACTACATTGCCCAGAATTCCACAGACATCAAATCAAATGACAATCACTCAGCAATCAAAACACCTTTAATGCTCAAAATTATACTACTGGTTGGATAGTTGACTATGACGATTAAATAGTAGAAAACCTTTTTTATGTTTTATTATTTTATTTTTTAATTTTATATGTGTTTTTTTCCTGAAACATTTATGTAGTTGAAGGACTTTTATTTTATTACAACATTTAGCAGGTCTCAAAATACTATGCATGGAAAAATCTAATCATTTTGAGACATAAATAAATATAAACATTTAAACATTTTACTTCCAGTGCTTCAGGCCCCTGTATTTCACAGCTCACAGAAGTGCATAGAGAAACATAACTTTACATTCGGATCATCCTCTAGCTAATCAAACTAAATTTAGATTTTCTATACGTCTAACATGACTCGTAGTTTCCTGGCTGGTTCGGCATTAGCGTTCAGTGGATGTTTCTCAGAAAATATCTCCAAACAAAAACAGGTTCAGGCTTAAGAGTTACATTCCTGCAAAGCAACTGCAAAAAACTCACAGTGAAAAAGGAGTTTCAGCCTCAGGAGAGCATCATTTTTCTGGCTTAATCACCAAGTCAAGTGATAAATAGCAAAATTTGAAAGCTACAGTGAGAAATTTATTTCTGCATACTTACACAGATAGTCAAATCTGAGGACCTCTGGCCTCCTTAGAGACTTTTTTCTAACTAACTGATGGATGTGAAAGGAGATTTAAAGCTGTGCATTAAGAGGTTTTGGCTATACATTTCGGCTACGGTGGGTAAGGAGACACCAAGGAACATCATAAACTAAAAATCCAACCTACACCTGTAGCTATTATTATACACATGTTTTAGAAGGATAAACCTCTTGAGATGAACCATCTTGTTTTCCTTAACACAAATATACAGAAAATACAGTATATAAAGCAAGATAACACAAATACACACATAAACAAACAAAAGCTCACACACACACAGATTCAATTAGAAATACCAAAATCCATACAGTAAAGATACGTACAGTAAATGTACACATACCCATACAAAGCTATATACATGCACCTACACATTAGAGATAAATTATTTCTATAAATTGAGTGCAATTAGAGGCAAGAACATTTAATTTTAAGATAGTTGTTACCCAGCCAGTCTCTGGTCCAGTGTTGGCTACGAAGTGAGCCCATGAAGACCACGTCAGAAGATTCAAAATTAGACTTAAAATTAAGTTTAGTTTTCATGCACTGAAAGTAAAATGTTATGAGATGGCGATTTACACCTTAATTATTATTTAAGGATGCACCTACGTAGGGCAGTCTGCTGTGTCAAGCATCAGTCGTGGATTCACCGAACGAAGATAAAATATGACTGAACTGTTTCTTTAACATGCCATGTACATTAAAATACATTGTTTTTTATAATAAAGACACACAGCAATGTATAATGTATCCTCTTGAATTAATCATGTAATGCCTTGTATTAGCATAACTCTGAAGATACTAGAAATATGTGTTTATCAGTGCCTAAGAGGACTTTGTAGTGGCTGCAGTTCATTTCTAGCTCACATGTGATAACTGTATAAAACAAAGAAATGTTCCAATCTCTAAGTAACAGTTCTGGCTTCACTAAATGACTAAGACCTTTTTAAATATTAAGTAAACTGATAAAAATCATTAATGTTTTTCATTTACCTTCAGGTTGTATCATGGTGGCTTCCATGCAGTTGTCTGAAAGTAAGAAATCCTTTGAACTTCATTCAAAAATAAGTTGGCGGGTCAGAACCAAACTGCATTAGCAAAATGTACTTTTATGTAATTAAACTCAAGAATGTCAATAAAATGTTGTAACACAGTCTGTAGCGTCACTGATTGAACTGAGTGTGTGTTTGTGAATGCAGCTGAACATATGTTACTCGTGTGGGGACACAGTTGCATTGTGGGGACAAAAAAAGCACAGGGTGATAACAGTAGAGTGCACGTTGTGATTTTTAACCCACAGAATGCAGATTTTCATAATTTTAGTAATAACGTCTATTTTAATTCATACAATTCAGTTTACAGCCCGAAAAACAAAATGTGTTAGAGTGAGAGTGGCAGTGTATCTCCCAAGCTCCCAAAACATGCTGGAGATAATATTCAGTTTTTCCACTGAAGCACTTCCTCCTTTAAACAGTTGAATTTTATGACATGCTGTCCACCCATGAATACATTTTCAGATACATATTGTAAGCAACGTTATGAATAGGGTTTAATAACTCACCGTGTTTGTCATATTTGCTGGTCATAGCTTGATTATAGAGTGAAGAGCTGGTCTGCTGATGAGCTGAAGGTAGAGATTGCGAAAGAGAAAAAGAAGAGGAAATAAAAAAACTAAAAGAAGAGCAGGAAAGTCGGGCCAGACGGGAAGCAGAGAACAGTAGTCCATTACAGATGATACTTGAGTTTATAAAACAAGTGGTGTACTATTTTTTATTTTATTTTAAATGACTTTTTGACTTTGTGATGAAGGACTGCAGCAGATGAACTGGCTGCTGTGACTTTATTAACATTCACATTACAGTTTTTGGTTTCCTCATTGTGCCAGGTTTGTGATAATAACAGTTACTTAATGAGCATTTGATAATGTTATTATATTCCATACCATAATACTGATTTTGAATTTAATGGATTTTGATATCTGTTTTATCTTTTCTCATTTTATAAACGCCCCCTGCTGCCAGGGCAGGTAACCAACCCTTGCCTTAGTCTCACCTGGATCTTGACATGTGCAACACACAGCTACCAGGCCTCAGCATGTCTGGCAATCCGCGAATCAGTATTTTCTCCCATAATGAGACACAAGATAAATGCTATGAAGGAGAACTTAGTAAATATCCTCATATCCTATATGCCAGACATGCTGAGGACTGGTAGCTGTGTGTTGCACATGTCAAGATCCAGGTGAGACTAAGGCAAGGGTTGGTTACCTGCCCTGGCAGCAGGGGGCTTTTCCCTCAAACTGCAACCTTCACTGCTAGATGCCACTGAATGTTACACACTAATCTTTTAATGCTGCAAACAAACAAACATACTAACACACAGATACAATAAAATAACATCCAGGAACAGTCCAAAAGTCACAGTTTCTTTTATGTGAAACCATGATGTTATAATTAATAGATTAAATTCAATTCAGTTTTATTTGTATAGCACCAATTCATAACAAAAAGTTATGTCAGGACACTTTTCAAATAGAGCAGGTCTAGACCGAACTCTTTATAACATTATTTACAGAGACCCAACAGTACCACCATGAGCAAGCACTTGGCGACAGCGGCAAGGAAGAACTGCCTTTTAAGAGGCAGAAACCTAGGACAGACCCCGACTCCAAGTGGGTGGTTGTCTGCCTCGGCCAGTTGGTGTGAGAGAGAGAGAGAGAGAGAGAGAGAGAGAGAGAGAGAGAGAGAGAGAGAGAGAGACAGACAGACAGACAGACAGACAGACAGACAGACAGATAGAGGTGCACAGCAACAACAGTAGCAACAACTACACTAATAGAAGTGACTGATGATGATGATGATGAACATGAAGGAGATGATGATGAAGACGACAAAAACGATGGGGGACAATGAGCAAAATTATTAGTAATAATAGTAACTGTAGTAATAATAATAATATCAGTGATATTAGCAATGGCAGTCAAGCAGGACCATGGCAGGAGGCTCCACCAGGATCCATGAGAACCTGTGAGACGAGAAAGCACAAGAACTCCGGGGAAGAAGTGGAGTTAGTAACATGCATTAATGGAACGTGAATGAGTGCAGAAAGAGAGAGGAAGAGAGGAGCTCAGTGCACCATGGGAAATCCCCCGATAGTCTAGGCCTATAGCAGCATAACTAAGGGATGGTTCAGGACTCACCTGATCCAGCCCTAACTATAAGCTTTATCAAAGAGGAATGTCTTAAGCCTACTCTTGAATGTGGTGAGGGTGTCTGCCTCCAGAACCACAACTGGAAGCTGGTTCCACAGGAGAGGAGCTTGGTAACTGAAGGCTCTGGCTCCTGTTCTACTTTTAGAGACTATAGGAACCACAAGTAGCCCAGCATTCAGAGAACGTAGTGTTCTAGAGGGGTAATAGGGTACTATGAGCCCTTTAAGATATGAAGGGGCCTGACCATGAAGAGCTTTATAGGTGAGGAGGAGGATTTTAAATTCTATTCTACATTTTACAGGGAGCCAATGCAGTACATCTTAAGGAGTTGCAGTAATCCAGTTTAGAAGTAACAAATGCATGGGTTAGTTTTTCTGCATCTGTCTGTGACAGGATGTGTCTAATTTTTGTAATATTACATAAATGAAAGAAGGCAGTCCTAGAGGTTTGCTTTATGTGGGAATTAAATGACAAATCCTGATCAAAGATAACTTCAATCTTCCTGACAGTGGTGCTAGAGGCCAAGGTAATGCCATCTAGAGTAACTATATCTTTACCTATGATCAATGAATGATATTAAGAAAGCACGACTCGTTAATTATCAGCTTTATTTCATGATCACCTTACTCAGTACAATCTACTCAACATTTAATTCAATTCAATTCAATTTTATTTGTATAGCGCCAATTCATAACAGAAGTTATCTCAGGACACTTTTCAAATAGAGCAGGTCTAGACCGAACTCTTTACTGATCATCTTGTACATTTATTAATATAAATACAAGTGAGGTTTACTTTATTTGACATTATGAAGCAGAGGACATTAAAGCACACACAGGATGTTGAAGATGATACAATGTTCACAAAGGAACAGAAACTCATTGTGACATCCAACCTCTGCAAGCACAAATCAGCAACTCTAGCTGTAGGCTGGTAGACATGAGTTCCCCCTTCTCTACACAACTGTCTGTGAGATACTCAAGGGCTCTGTTATGAATATTGTGTTATTATTATTGTGTCAATCTAAGTCTGACACTTATGATCAGAGTTAGATACTTAATCCACAAAATCCAAAGTCCAGTATTACGACATGGAGCACAACAGCACACTCCTTACAGGATAGGATAAAAGATCAAAAGCACAAATCTTCAGTTCTTATGTAATTAAATGTTCATTAAGTAACTGTTATTATCACAAACCTGGCACAATGAGGAAACCAAAAACTGTAATGTGAATGTTAATAAAGTCACAGCAGCCAGTTCATCTGCTGCAGTCCTTCATCACAAAGTCAACAATGGTTTTAAATAGTTCTGAAGTAAATATGGCATTACTTTGTGTATACCTCTGTGTATCTGCCCAGTTTGATGATGACCAGATGTGGGATGCAGGAGAAGCATAAGAAATGCACTGGACGATATCTAGAGTAGTTTTCTTTTCTTCAGTGCTGGTGTCAAACACACATTAATAATGATATTTCAGGAATGCCTGTCATGAATCAAAGGATGGGAGTTGTTTTGGATAGCTGGGTGTCTGTGTGCTTACACAAAAGTCCCCAAAGTCCCCCAAAGCTCGTTTGATGAAAAACGAAACTGAAACTGAAAGTAAAATTCTTCCTTTTACAATAACGGTTGGAGTTTCCTGTAAATGCTGGTGGGAGGGGGAGGACAGGGTTGGCTTATATAAGGAAGCGTTGTTGCAGACAGATTTCTCTTCTTCAGCTCAGCAGCAGACCAGCTCTTCACTTCATAATCCAGTTATGACCAGCAAATATGACAAACACGGTGAGTTATTAAACCCTATTTATAGTGTTGCATACAATATGTATCCGAATATGTGTTTATGGGTGGACAGCATGTCATAGCCTAAATTCAACTGTTGTAAAGGGGGAAGTGCTCTAGTGGAAGAACAGAATATTATCTCCAGCATGTTTTGGGAGCTTGGGAGATACACTGCCACTCTCACTCTGTCTGAATTATACAGAGAGGTGTTCCTGATATTTACCCTACACTCATTCATATGAATGGGGTGGGCACTTACGGTTGTAACCACATTATATATTCAATATTCCTCTTTCCAATGCAATTGTTAACTGTTGTAAAACTTCTGTAAAGAGTGACCTGCCTCCCACTGAAAATGACAAAGATCTTCAGTGAATGACAACCCCATGTTTCTCACTAAATTGTAAGCGCAACTTAGAAAAAAGACGCAACGTTTAATGCAACTGCAATGCCGTCTCAGTATTATTGCATAATGGCAACGACACAGATTCTAAACACTGAAATATAGCATTTAATAGTTTTGGTGTATTGTTCCTCTTTAAAGGCTTACTTTGATCCATCAAAAAAAAAAATGTTGCAAAATAATAGAAACTGTAATACAGTTAAACAGCACCACCAACCAAGATGGCATGCAATCAGATCAACACATCTGAAACAGTTTCTAACCTTTCTAACCTTTGTGAAAGGAGGATTGATCTCAGGACTGTTGCATTAGACTGCTGATTAGTTTGGACCCTGTAAGAGAACTGATGTCTGACTCGTTCCCGGTTCACTTCCTGCTCTGTGTACACTGTTTGGTGCTGTAGCTCTGTCAGTGAACTCTAAATATACATTAGTTTTACTCGTTACTGCGGTTATTTACCCGCTTAACATTTAAACGTAGACTAGTTCTACCTAAGCACTCGGAGTTTCTCCTTCTTTTAGGGACTTTTCACTACTTTCAAAGTTTTTTCATACACACTAGTTTCATTAACATTAGCAGTTAGCTATGGCTTCCCTCTTCCTCTTCCTCTTCCTCTCCTCTGTCCTGCTCAGTGTGTCAGATGTTCAGTTATTCCTCTGCCTCCTTTAGTGATAATGGTTCCTGTATTAAATGTAGTTTATTTACTGCGCTGGAGGCTCAGTGAGTTAGAGGAACGGTACCGCACCACGAAGATATCTTTACCCGCTATAGTTAGCCAGCCCCCAGCAGCCGGTGCGGTCCGACCGAAGGTAGCTTCTGTTAGATCTGTAGATCCCCCGGTAGTTCCCCCGGTAGTTCCCCCGGTAGATCCCCCGGTAGATCCTCCGGTAGATCCCCCGGTAGATCCGAACAGCCGGGAAGACAGGGAGTCTGGGTGACTGAGCGAATGAAAACTAAAACACTGAAGCCCACAGGTCACCACCAACCCCTTCATGTTTCTAATACATGTGGGCTTCATTGATAACTGGAAGCCTTTTTGGGGAAACCTGGTCTGATTAGGAGAGACAGCATCCACTTTGGATGGAGCGGCTCTCTTATCTAGGAATATGGCGAAGTTTATCTCTAAAACCTGACAGTCCAGAGTTGGGACCAGGAAGCAGAGCTGCTGTCTTACACACTTCTCTGCTCTTTCTTTAGAACACCCACCCAAAACCCCATAGAGACTGTGTCTGTCCCCCGACCACCTAAATTATTTAAAGAAATAAAAACAAGAGGAGTTCAACATAAAAATCTAATAAAAATTAAAACCAACTCCTCAGTAGCACAAAATAAGAGAATGAAATGTGGACTGTTAAATATCAGGTCTCTGTCCTCTAAAGCTGTTTTAGTGAATGAATTAATATCAGATTATGATATTGATTTACTTTGTCTTACTGAGACCTGGTTGTCCCACGAGGAGTATGTTAGCCTAAATGAATCCACCCCCGCGTTCGGACGAAGGCAGTTAGAAGTTAGACGTGTCTCCTCGCCACCAGCTTAAATAGCCTTTTTTAACCTAATAGGGTAATACGCATAGGAGAGAGGCTCGGACTCTTTATAACGGAGAGCTGGTCCAGTACCACCTATACGGGGGTAACTCGGGATCTAACCTCTAGATGGCATTAACTTGGCCTCTAGCACCACTGTCAGGAATCTTGGAGTTATCTTTGATCAGGATTTATCATTTAACTCCCACATAAAGCAAACCTCTAGGACTGCCTTCTTTCAATTACGTAATATTACAAACATTAGACACATCCTATCACAGACAGATGCAGAAAAACTAATCCGTGCATTTGTTACTTCAAGGCTGGATTACTGAAACTCTTTATTATCAGGTTGCCCCAATAAGTCCATTAAAACGCTCCAATTAATTCAGAACGCTGCAGCACAAGTACTGACAGGAACTAGAAAAAGAGATCACATCTCTCCTGTACTAGCTTCTCTGCACTGGCTCCCTGTAAAATGTAGAATAGAATTTAAAATCCTCCTCCTCACCTATAAAGCTCTTCATGGTCAGGCCCCTTCATATCTTAAAGAGCTCATAGTACCCTATTACCCCACTAGAACACTACGTTCTCTGAATGCTGGGCTACTTGTGGTTCCTATAGTCTCTAAAAGTAGAACAGGAGCCAGAGCCTTCAGTTACCAAGCTCCTGGTTCTTATCGATCCTGGTGGAGCCTCCTGCCATGGTCCTGCTAGATTGCCATTGCTAATACTGTTGTTGCTGTGCGTCTGTCTGTCTGTCTGTCTGTCTGTCTGTCTGTCTGTCTGTCTCTCTCTCTCTCTCTCTCTCTCTCTCTCTCTCTCGCTCTCTCTCTCTCTCTCTCTCTCTCTCTCTCTCACCCCAACTGGTCGACCACCCACCTAGAGCCGGAGGATCTGTCCTAGGTTTCTGCCTTTTAACAGGCAGTGTTTCCTTGCCCTTGTCTCCAAGTGCTTGCTCATGGTGGTACTGTTGGGTCTCTGTAAATAATGTTTTAAAGAGTTCGGTCTAGACCTGCTCTATTTGAAAAGTGTCCTGAGATAACTTCTGTTATGAATTGGCGCTATACAAATAAAATTGAATATATAGAAATGAACCAACATCAAGTTGTAAAGGCAGCAGCTTGAACTGAACAAGAAGCATTTTCCAAAGACCTGTCTGTACACTGTCTGCATTATACACACAGAGGTGTGACAAGTCTGTTTGTTTCCCTCCTTGTGTGTGTGTGTGTGTGTGTGTGTGTGTGTGTGGGCTCCCTTCCTCAGGCTGGCTCCTGGCTCTGGCTTTCACTGCTCTCCTGCTCGTCATCAGTAATCAGCTGACCAGCCCGCCATCAGGAAATCCCCACTCCTCTGAACACAGCACTGAGAGCCGGTCCACGCAGGGTCACGGTAGCCCACCCCTCACGGTTTGTTCTTTTCTTTAAGCTACTTTGTTTTTCACTGTCAGTCTAGTTGTAGTGTGTTTGCCTGCCTGTTGGTTGTAAGGTTTCCTCCTGTTTTCTCTGTCTCCAGGATCACCAACCCGCTGCACCATCCTGCCAAGGCCGCAGCCAGCTCTCATCCACGGGATGTACTGGATACCCGCTGGATTCTTCCCCCTCATCTCACTGTAAGTGTTTGCACAGTATTACGTAGTCTCAACTGTTTCTTACTGTATAGGCTGTGTACAGTATGTTACTGTAGATTCTTCTGGGAAAATATTACTGGAATCTAAATACAGCAATACTAACTTACAACAAAACATTTTGTTTTGACATCAGAGCTCAGGATCTTCCCTTATTTGTTGATTTTCAGGGGTCCCATCAGAACTGACCAGATACAACAATGAGGAGATCAGGATTGTGATGGTGGGGAAGACTGGAGTTGGGAAGAGCGCGACAGGAAACACCATTCTGGGAAATCAGAGCTTTAAATCAGAGTTTTCCCCTGAATCTTTGACTGTCCACTGTGCTAAGGCCCGTGGTGAGGTGGATGGACAAAAGGTTGCTGTTATCGACACTCCAGGTCTGTTTGACACCAGGATTGATGAAGAGAAAACAGCTAAAGATATTGCCCAGAGCATTTCTTATGCTTCTCCTGGACCCCACATCTTCCTGGTCGTCATCAGACTGGGCAGATTCACAGAGGAAGAAAAGAAGACTGTGCAGAAGATTAAAGATATCTTTGGAGAGGAAGCAGACAAATACAGCATGGTTCTCTTTACCCATGGTGACCTGCTCAAAGGGAAACCGATTGAGGAGTTCTTGGCGAAAAGCAAAGACCTGCAGGAACTTGTGGCCAAATGTAACGGCCAGTACCACGTCTTCAATAACGAACTGGAGGATCGTTCTCAGGTCAGAGAGCTGCTCAACAAGATCAGAGATATAACAGAGAAGAACGGAGGAAGCCATTACACCAATGAAATGTTCCAGAAGGCAGAGAAAGCGATTGAAGAGGAGAAACAACGAATCCTGAAAGAGAAAGAAAAGGAAATGCGCAAACAGCGGGAGGAACTGGAGAAGACAATAAAGGAAAAGTACGAGCAACAAATGAGTGAAGCAAAGGCTGACATTGAAAGGGAGAAAAGGTTACTGGCAGATCGCGAGAGAGAAATGGAAGAGAGGGGGAAAAAATTGAAAGAACATCAGGAAAGGTGGGCCAGAGAGGAAGCAGAGAGCAGTAATCCATTCGTGAGGTTTTTTAAGTTTCTAAAAAAGTTATTTTTTGGATGACTTTTTGACTTTGTGATGAAGGACTGCAGCAGATGAACTGGCTGCTGTGACTTTATTAACATTCACATTCCAGTTTTTGGTTTCCTCATTGTGCCAGGTTTTTGATAATAACAGTTACTTAATGAACATTTAATTACATAAAGATTACCGTTGGTTTAGATTTTTGCATTTGAATTTTCTATCCTATCGTTTGAGGAGCGTGTTATTATATTCTATAATACTGATTTTGAATTTTGTGGATTTGGATATCTGTTTTATCTTTTCTCATTTTATAAACAGAAGTGTCCAATTTATATTAATAACAGAGCCCTTGAGAATCTCATAAACAGTTGTGTACGGTAGAGGGAACCTTTATACATAGAATACACAGTTTACTTTTTACAGTTGAAATACGTCTTTGACTTTGTGGACATTGTGTCATCTTTAACATCCTGTGTGTGCTTTAATGTCCTCTCCTTCATAATGTCAAAGAAAGCAAACCTCACTGGTGTTAATATTAATAAATGTACAAGATGATGAGTAAATGTTGAGTAGCTTGTATTGAGTAGAATATGTTAGTAAGGTGATCATGAAATAAAGCTGATAATTAACGAGTCATGCTTTATTAATATCATTCAGAGTTTGTGTCTATAAAGATTATTGTCATTGTTCAGGGAAGTTCTTGTGCAGGGTTAGTCTCAAGTGTTTCTTACTGTATAGGCTGTGTACAGTATGTTACTGTAGATTCTTCTGGGAAAATATTACTGGAATCTAAATACAGTAATACTAACTTACAACAAAACATTTGGTTTTATTGTAGGTTTTGACATCAGAGCTCAGGATATTTGGCCTTGTTGATTTTCAGGGGTCCCATCAGAACCGACCAGATACAACAATGAGGAGATCAGGATTGTGTTGGTGGGGAAGACTGGAGTTGGGAAGAGCGCCACAGGAAACACCATTCTGGGAAATCAGAGCTTTGAATCAAAGTTCTCCCCTAAATCTTTGACTGTCCACTGTGCTAAGGCCCGTGGTGAGGTGGATGGACAAAAGGTTTTTGTCATCGACACTCAAGGTCTGTTTGACACCAGAACTGATGAAGAGAAAACAGTTAAAGATATTGTCCAGAGCATTTCTTATGCTTCTCCTGGACCCCACATCTGCTCGAAGAGGAATCGGTTGAAGAGTTCTTGGAGGAAAGTGAAGAGCTGCAGGAACTTGTGGCCAAATGTAACGGCCAGTACCACGTCTTTGATAGCGACCTGGAGGATCGTTCTCAGGTCAGAGATATAACAGAGAAGAACGGAGGAAGCCATTACACCACTGAAATGTTCCAAGCAGCAGAGAAAGCGATTGAAGAGGAGAAACAACGAATCCTGAAAGAGAAAGAAGAGGAAATGCACAAAGAATGGGAAGAACTGGAGAAGAAACTAAAGGAAAAGTATGAGGAACAACTGAGAGAAGTGAAGGCTGACAGGGAGAGGGAGAATAAGCCAATTGACAATCGTGAGAAGGAAAGGGAAAAGGAAAGAGTAAGGCTGAAAAAAGAGCAGGAAAAGTGGGCTAGAGAAGAAGCAGAGAGCAGCAATCCATTAAAACTGATATATGAGTATATTAAACGAATGGTGCGTCGTTTATTTGTTGGATGAGATTTTTGCCTTTTTACCTTGCGTCAGCTGTTGTGACTTTAGTAATGTTCACATTCTAGTTTTTGGTTTACTCATTGGGCTTTATTTGTAATAACAGTTACTGAATGAGCATTTTATTAAATAAAAATTGGATTAAAAAAATTAAGATTTTAATATTTGATCTTTTTATCCTTTTAGGAGCTCCACATAATAATGCTAATGGATTTTGTGGATTTGGATATCTATTTTATCTTTTCTCATTTCATAAACAAAGTCTGACCAGAATTTGAGAATCTCAAACCACTTTTGCAGGATAGGGTGAACTCATAATAACCCTCATCACAGCAGCTATGGCATAAACAAGAATCCCAGGGACCCAGAATACTAGCTGACTCTAGAACTGGACCTGGTTGCCTACTGTTATGACCTGTGACCTCTCAGGCTATAGACTGATCCCATACTTGATTTTAATAATTTACACATTAAACGTGTTGGTTTGTTGTGTTTGAGGTCACTACGTCACTTTGTGGACACCCACTGTCTTTACGTCAGGGACCACAGTTGAAATGTGTCATTGACTTTGTAGACATTGTGTCATCTTTAACATCTCATGTGTGCTTTAATGTCCTCTGCTTCATAATGTCAAATAAAGCAAAACTCTCTGCTGTTAATCAGAATCCAAAATCTGTTCTGTTCAAATCTCATACAACGTTAAAGATTGGATAAACACTGACTTTTTATGAGATATGTGTAACACATAAAACTTCACTCCTGCACAGACATTGTTCGATATCGCCCTCCACTGGAATGACTGTAAGTGTGACTGATGCTGACAGCTGGAGAGAAATCAATCAGAGGACAGAACATGTTAATAAAAATTAACATTCACAATAACAAATCTTTCTCATTTTCAGGTTTCCTTTTTCACTGTGTCCGTCCAAAAGTCATAGTTTCTGCCTGCAGCTGGCCTCATTAACAAAGTCTGGCACCCCCAAAGTCTCTGACTGACATTATCCTCTCCATCCACAGACACTACACATCTTTCTTTATCTAGCTCTTTAATAAATAAAAAAAGATATATTACATATATTTTTAATACTTACTATACTCATATTCTGTATTGTAAATACTGTATTATCTATTTGTATGCAATTAACCTGATTTTAATTCTGTATTTCAGGTCTGGAAGCAAATTCAATAAGTGTATCTTGTCTGACAGTATTACAAATATAACCTGTATCCCAGTAAGATGGTTTTTATATCTGGTTTTAGGAGGTGTTTCGCAGTAGTTGCCTCCTCCACCTGTTCCAATTATTCTACTCATAATATCTACATAGAATTTTAAAAGAATGTTAACCACCTTCTTATTAAACTTTTTATCGTTAAGATATTGTCCTCCTCAAACTGTACATTGATTCCTGACCACTGGAGGGGGCTATTGTACAATGTCTGTGCCCATGCAGGAGTGCAGCTACAGTTACATTCATTCAAATATAATCAATGAAACAATATTGTTTGTAAAACTCTGTTTTCTTTTAAAGGTTTGTGGTTCGTGGTGGGTTTGCAAAACTGGAACTGGGCCTCATAATGTCCTCCTATTTTCCAAATTCGTTGAAAATAATTGTTGCTGCTTCAAGGCATACAGAATGGAACATTTAGTGTGCCTGATCACCTTAACATTTATATCATGGAAGTTGAGAAGGACAAGAAGCTACGATCAGTTGGACTCCAACCTTTAGTCTGCAACGTCTCAATCAAGTAACGGCAATAATTTATGATCCTTTGATCGCCTAATGTGACCGTAATGAAACACAAAAACATTGTGTATCAGAATCAGAATCAGAATCAGAAATACTTTAATAATCCCAGGGGGAAATTATTTTCGTAACAACACTCCAGATATACAAACAACATATTATACAAACAACATATATATATGTACAACATTCAGCACAAAAAATATCAATATATATATATAACTATATATATATATACAAGATCAAATGTACAGTATTAATGTGCAAAAGTGCAAAAGAATAATTGTCTACGTTTTGAGTCAGAATTACAGGGGGGGTGCTGACTCTCTGGGGGGCGTTATAGAAATTGATGACCACAGGCAGGAATGATTTCCTGTGGCGCTCTGTAGTGGATCTGGGTGTGAGGAGTCTTCTGCTGAAGGTGCTCCTCTGCTGGGCCAGTGTGTCGTAGAGAGGGTGAGAGACATTGTCCAAGATGGACTGAAGCCTGGACAGCATCCTCCTCTCTGCCACGGCCGTCAGGGTGTCCAGCTCCTCCCCTACGACATCACCGGCCCTCCTGATCAGTTTGTTTAGTCTGTTGTTGTCAGCGACCCTCAGCCCACTGCCCCAGCATGTGACAGCGAAGAAGATCGTACTGGCCACAACAGACTCATAGAACATCCTCAGCATCGTCTGGCAGATGTTAAAGGACCTCAGCCTCCTTAGGAAAAAGAGTCGGCTTTGGCCCTTTTTGTAGACAGCCTCAGTGTTTCTAGTCCAGTCCAGCTTATTATTAAAGTACACCCCCATAAACTCCTCTACAGTGTCCACAGGGACCCCCTGGATGGAAACAGGGGTCACAGGTGTTTTTGCCCTCCTCAGATCCACTATGAGCTCCTTAGTCTTTGTCACATTGAGCTGTGTGTAGTCTGATCCCGGCATAAAAGGTCAGTGATGGTTTAAGGTGTAAGGTCTTACTTCTGGTTTTATTCAACTTGCTGTGGTTACATTTGTCTTTTCAAAGCAACTTCTTTATCGGTGAGATCAGTTTAACATTTTCAAGCAGCATGTTAAAGAGTTCTTAGTTTTATGCAAATAAGGCCATTTTTAGGTGTTTATTTGTTTATTTGTGGACCCTCTTTCAAAATGAGACTCAACAATCTTCAAGCCTCCAACCCAAAGCGTCTTCATATCTTTCTCTCTCTTCCTCGCTCTGATTGGTTGTTTTTAGGGGCGCTAGAATGAGCCAGAGGAACCTGATGTATTCATAGATTATCTCTCTCATCTTCTACTGTCAGGAAAGAGTGAAAGTTTCAGCAAATTTTTTTACAAAAGTTACCTATCTAAGAACAAGAAAATAAGAAATAAAAAACGCATATGTAAAAACATTTATATAAAATGTTTGATCTGATTGTAATCCAAGCCTGAATACAAACTGCACTGAAAATATCAGTTTAACTGCAGCAAAATGCATATTTCACCAGTGACCTGTGGTGTTATTTTGGGTCAAACAAGCGGAGACACTTCCTGTTATATATGACTGACTGACTGCATTTAGTTTAATACACAATGTAGACAGCTCACAACACGCCTAACACTCACTTTGCTGTTGAATTGATTCATCCAACTACATTACCCAGAATCGAATCAAACATCAAATCGAATTACAATCACTCGGCAATGAAAACACCTTTAATGCTCAAAATTATACTACTGGTTGGATAGTTGACTATGACGATTGAAACCTTTTTTATGTTTTATTATTTTATTTTTTATTTTTTATGTGTTTTTTTCCTGAAACATTTATGTAGTTGAAGGACTTTTATTTTATTACAACATTTAGCAGGTCTCAAAATACTATGCATGGAAAAATCTCATAATATTTATAAACATTTAAACATTTTACTTCCAGTGCTTCAGGCCCCTGTATTTCACAGCTCACAGAAGTGCATAGAGAAACATAACTTTACATTCGGATCATCCTCTAGCTAATCAAACTAAATTTAGATTTTTATACGTCAAACATGACAACGGTCGTTGTTGTCAGTCGTCAGACTCGTAGTTTCCTGGCTGGTTCGGCATTAGCGTTCAGTGGATGTTTCTCAGAAAATATCTCCAAACAAAAACAGGTTCAGGCTTAAGAGTTACATTCCTGCAAAGCAACTGCAAAAAACTCACAGTGAAAAAGGAGTTTCAGCCTCAGGAGAGCATCATTTTTCTGGCTTTATTATCAAGTCAAGTGATAAATAGCAACATTTTAAAGCAACAGTGAGCAATTTATTTCTGCATACTTACACAGATAATCAAATCTGAGGACCTCTGGCCTCCTTAGAGACTTTTTTCAAACTAATTGATGAATGTGAAAGGAGATTTAAAGCTCTGCATTAAGAGGTTAGGCTATACATTTCGGCGACGGTGGGTAAGGAGACACCATGTGACCATCATGAACTAAAAATCCAACCTACACCTGTAGCTATTATTATACACATGTTTTAGAAGGATAAACCTCTTGAGATGAACCATCTTGTTTTCATTAACACAAATACACACATAAACAAACAAAAGCTCACACACACAGATTCAATTAGAAATACCAAAATCCACACAGTAAAGATACGTACAGTAAATGTACACCTACCCATACAAAGCTATATATATGCACCTACACATTAGAGATAAATTATTTCTATAAATTGAGTGCAATTAGAGGCAAGAACATTTAATTTTAAGATAGTTGTTACCCAGCCAGTCTCTGGTCCAGTGTTGGCTACGAAGTGAGCCCATGAAGACCATGTCAGAAGATTCAAAATTAGACTTAAAATTAAGTTTAGTTTTCATGCACTGAAAGTAAAATGTTATGAGATGGCGATTTACACCTTAGTTATTATTTAAGGATGCACCTACGTAGGGCAGTCTGCTGTGTCAAGCATCAGTCGTGGATTCACCGAACAAAGATAAAATATGACTGAACTGTTTCTTAAACATGCCATGTACATTAAAATACATTGTTTTTTATAATAAAGACACACAGCAATGTATAATGTATCCTCTTGAATTAATCATGTAATGCCTTGTATTAGCATAACTCTGAAGATACTAGAAATATGTGTTTATCAGTGCCTAAGAGGACTTTGTAGTGGCTGCAGTTCATTTCTAGCTCACATGTGATAACTGTATAAAACAAAGAAATGTTCCAATCTCTAAGTAACAGTTCTGGCTTCACTAATTATGACCTTTTTAAATATTAAGTAAACTGATAAAAATCATTAATGTTTTTCATTTACCTTCAGGTTGTATCATGGTGGCTTCCATGCAGTTGTCTGAAAGTGAGAAATCCTTTGAACTTCATTTAAAAATAAGTTGGCGGGTCAGAACCAAACTGCATTAGCAAAATGTACTTTTATGTAATTAAACTCAAGAATGTCAATAAAATGTTGTAACGCAGTCTGTAGCGTCACTGATTGAACTGAGTGTGTGTTTGTGAATGCAGCTGAACATTTGTTACTCGTGTGGGGACACAGTCGCATTGTGGGGACACATTGTGGGGACGTGGTCGCATTGCGGGGACACAGTCGCATTGTGGGGACACATTGTGGGGA